TCAAGCTTGTTGAAAATCAATTGGCAGAAAAGGGCCAATACGGCCCACTTATCAGGAAAATAACGCCTTCTTGCTATCAGTGTGTTGGAGGCTAAACAAAATTAGTGCATTACTGTCTGGGATGTTCACAGAAATTAAATTCTAACCTGGAAAATGGAGCCTTCTTCAGGTGTGAGCAAGAACACTTGAAGAAGACTCGAAACGTTGTGTCTTCTCTTTTCAGCATGGAATAAAGCTTTTACTTGTTCCTTTGCAGCCTACCCATGCTGACACAGCTACCCACCTGAACTTGTCTACAGGTAGATGATTTTATAATATTATTGATTTAGAGTTTGCTTTTAACAATTTTTGTTCATTTTCTGCACAAAACAAGCTACAAACCACCCACGTTGATGTAAGTGCAGGGCATTTGTATGCAAAGCTTCCCAATTCATCAACAAAGGAAGTGTGGAAAGATATCAACCATGGGCAACTTAAAACCGGGACTGCATGTATGATGTGCAAACATGCAATATATTTAATGTAAATTCAAGAGGAAAAAAAAGAGGCAGGAAGTTAGTTACTCTTTTCACTTAACCGGCATGAGACTGTATATAAAAAAATAAGACAAATTATTGTATTTTAATCACCAGAGTTTTGTTGATGAAAACTAGTATTAAAGCTTTGTCTTCAAGAAATGGGAGAAATGTCCTAAATATTTGAAGAATGTCAATTCTGTATTCTCTTTTCTTTTGATCTAGATAAAATAGTGATTGCGATTTCCATTATTAACGAGGAGGAATGCCGAGGCCAAAGGAATGATCATAACAGCACATTTTGGCCCAGTGAAGATCTGGGCTTTAAAGCCTCTTGGCAGGGGTTTGTCTAAAGGAAAGTGTTGTCTTGCCATGTTGCCTTGGTGGAAACTCACAGCACATACAGTAGATGGAAGAGGTAGTCCAATTAAACCTCAAAAGTACACGATTTTGTACTTAACTGAAATTTCCTAGAACACACATACAGAAATGTGAGTTCTCTTTTAAGCAGAAAAGGGGGAATCTTTATAAAATCAATTGTATTTTGATTTCTTTTTAAAATCCTGCCCTGTTTTAAGTATTGTTTTTTATGTTTGTGTCATTTTAAGTATTTTTTTCTGAGTTTTAACAGTGTAATGAAGTTCTGATGAAAGGTTAATATGCACAGACTGGAAGCAAGTAACTCCTTATGAGGGGCATATCTGATATATCCTCTGTCAACATTTATGATGTACTTAATGTTTAGAGTGGAAACAGAATACTAGAATATGCAAATGCAGTATAGCTATAGAACTAAAGGTCAGGACATGATAATGTAACAGCTTTAAGGCTGTTAAGATTAGATAGTTATAGTTTCATTTTTTTTCTAAAAAGAAATCTGCAAACAAATCTGCTAACAATATTAGAGTGATTTGAATTCCATTTTGAGAGTTTAATGAAAAATGTGTTATGAATTTTTGGTTTTTAAAGAAAGAGAAATGCATTTGTCATTTTAATTAGCAACTCCTATATATAGATTTTTATTACAAAGGTTCTCAAAGTGCTTTAGAGAGGGGAGAGGATACCCTTCATCTACTACTGCAGTGCAACGCCTGTACACACCAGATCAGGTCAAGAGGTGAGCAAAACATCTAACCATAGTTAGACATCTCTTCTAATCATCATTTTGGGAGAATTCTGAGCTGACTGGCACCCTCTCTGGATTTGTGAATGGAACTGGGGAAGCTTTTTACAAATGCCCTCAGGTTTATCAAAATAGCTAATGTTTTTGAGGTAAAACAGCAGGCAAACCTCCTTCTGTAAGCCACCCAGGGCGAGGCCTGTCATGGTATGGTATTAAGTGTACTTCCTTTGCACAGGTGTAATATGGGAAAGACAACTGCAGAGGAGACTGGACACGCTGACACATAACTGGTAAACCCTGACATAGCCACTGTCGAGAGATTTGCATAGAGTGAAGAGATTAAGAGATTTTATGCACAGCAAATGCTTTGAACTAAATTTCGAAAATAAGCCTTTGCTGGACAACCTGCTTTGCAACAGGAGAACTTTTTTTTTATTATTTCAGGAAATTTCATCTTTCTGAAATCTGTTAGTATCCTGTGACTGTTACAGTATATGACTACAGATTTTGCAGGTTGGTCAGTACAAAACTGCAGCCTCTGTCCTGATTCAGTTTTCAGCCACACGTGGCAATGCTGATCTGCATTGTACAGTATATGATTTCAAAACTGTACAAGTATATTCATATATTTTCATACTGTATAGTGGTCCAATTAATAAAGTGGGCTATTCATATACAAGTATGTTGTATAGGGTTTAATCATTAACTTTACTTTTTATATTAGCACACTTATGTCATAAACTTCATTTGAAGGCTTATTAGCGTGGTTAAACCTTCTAACAACTGTGACAAAAATGTCACTTTTTTCTAGTTTGTGAAGGAGCGATTAAAAAGTTTAAAAGCATTAGGAACATAGGAAAATGACCCAGATGCATATCGCATGTTAAACATTATAAACTTAACTTGAATTAATGACAGCAGTGCTCTCTTGTTTGTACGAGACAGTACCCTCGGTGAAATGTGAGAGCCCTCCTCTACCCTGTCACACAGTAGACTACACCCCTTTTTTGTTTTAAGAACCAGTTGAGGCTGAGCTTCGCCAGCAAAAAGCAGAATTTACTACGTTAACCCTGGCCACTTGAAGCTAAATCACACTCCAATTAGCGTGAGGTTACAGGGCATAGTTTTGTTCCTTCACACAGCTTTCAACTGGACAGTTAAACCGGGAAATTGCAGTTATATTGACAAAACAAGGGTGTTCAACCCACCAACACGTCATACTGCCCTGTCATTCAGTTGTTTTAATTGAAAACGTTTCAGATCTTGAAACACTGGCATTTATTAGCAGAGGAACTGCTGGCTATTTCTTTCTCTGTAATTCCATTTAATAAATCATAATGTTAAGCGTCACACATCAAACAGAAAATCTGTAGCACGATGACAGGAGATTACGGTTATTTTAATGCCATGTTTTCACCTAGTATTCATGTTTCTTCCTACCTCCCTAAAACATGCAAGTCAGGTTAGAGCTTTGTGGTTTGATACCACTATAATCGGTACTGCGGCTGAAGAGTACGTTTTCTTTCCCTAGCACTATTGTATACGGATATCTCAGAAATCTCATTTAATCATGTTACTGCAGTCCCTGCCATTTGTGATCAATATCAGTTACTTTCGCGATATACTATCCAACTTCACTGTCTGTCCTGAAAACTGATCCTCAGATAAGAGTGAAACTACCAGAACAAATTTAAAGCTGGAGATCCATCCTTTCCTCGTATGAAAAAATGCAATAAATGAAACAGGAGAGGCGATACGCGATCTAGTTTACTGTTACTATCATCAGGTGTGAACGCATCGTTTGAAATCAATTTAACCTTGACATAACAAGGTGTCACCTTTAATTTTGTCAAATCCATTTTACTATTTTTCGATTCATTTTCGTGGTTATAATGCCGTGAGGCTAAATGTAAAACCGTTTAACCTGTAACGACTTTCGAAAGGGAATGGCACAGGGTCATATGAATCTGGGTTTACCTGAAGAAAAAGAAATCTTTTAACAGAAAAAAAAATTGGAGAGTAAATCAATTTGAACAAAAATGATCTGGATCCCACTGCATACTGCTCGTTTCGTGAATGCCCTGGAATAAACGTTTGCGTTTTGTGCTATTGTGCATAACCTTGTGTCCTCTTCCAAACTAGTATTACGCAACGTAACTTTATCAGTCTATGTACGTTTTACGTTTTACTTTTGTGGCTCTCCCGGTTTTGATAGTTAAGCATTTACTTTACTTACGTATTTTAAAAAAAAAACCCAACAGTGCTCATTGTTCGCACTGACACAAAGGGGTGCCCAGCATTTTACTATAATGGCAAACTTCCACAAAAGATTACAGGGCCTTTTCGCTTTTCGCACATTAACCATTTGATGGAGCCCCGGAGCCTGCGAGGACTCGCGGAGGGAGGAGAAGCGAGCGGGTGTCACGTGTCCACACGCGTGTGCGGTTCCGAAGTCAGTCTGGTTCCAGAAGCCGGAAGGTCACTGATGCCAGTTGCTCGCGCTGTTGCCTCAGGAAAACGTCACGCTTTGAAAACTGAACCTGTTAGACTATACAGTGGAAAATGCCGCTTTCTCCACCGGCATTGATAAATCAACGAACACCATTTACAGTAACATACCTTCAGCTCCTTTTCATCTGTATCATACTGTATCACTGAGACCTTTTTTGTTAATACAACAGCGATGTTCCTAAGCCCGGGAAGGGGAATACGACCATTTCTAGTACATTTTAAATCACCCTCTGAGGGTCTATATAAAAACGCCATGTCGGTTATCGAATTACTTTAAATTCTAGAGGTCCTGCCTCTTTAAACCCCGATACTCGTTTTGAACCAAACCCCAGCGCTCCGGATTTGCAGTAGTGAAGCGAAACATGTTAATTGGGGGAGGGGAGAGTGATCATTTTTGAGAAACGAAGACACGCGATCCAATCTTGGTATATAGGACTGTGTCTGATTTTTATAAAATGAAAGATAATAAAACTGTAACCAGAGAACCTTAATTGTCAGATGTGTAGTTAAAAAAAAACCCACGAAAACGCGTTTGTGTTTCCTCCCAATCTTAATACATGGCTGTAACCGTGGCTTGATGTAAAGAATTAAAGTCTCCAAGCAAGTGTCGGGATACCCTTGACACGCCACAGCGTGGCCGGCGAAACACAAAATCGTTTTATTATTAAAATAGTACAGTATATTCTTCACGGTCTACGGTAACACAGTCGAGCAGGGCGGAGCTATGATTTTTTTTTCCACCTCACACGGCTGTGTTACGCAGGAGAAAGTGTGTTTTGTGATTTGCCAGCGTAGGCCCTCCCTCTCCTGAAGGTAACTTATTAAAAGAGTTTGCGGGCGGAGTCAGGTACCGAGAGGGATATATTGTGTGGGGGGTACGTTACAGTCACCCGAGTCCAACTCTGTCCTTTTTGGAATTGGCAAGAAAAGAGGGGGCAGCTTGCACTCTGCAAGCTACCTGGGGGGGGACAATTAATTTTTTTTTTCCCTTAACGAAAAGAATACGATCCAACTCAAAGGGACTTTTTGTCTAAAAAAAAAAAATCTAATTCGAGAACAAACACACAGAAAATGGCAGGGGCAAATAAAGAAGGTGATGGTGGCTGGAAGAAGTTTATCTGGGATTCGGAAAAGAAGGAATTGTTGGGACGTACGGGCTCTAGCTGGTGTAAGTATCCGCTTTGGCTTGACAATAATTTGGTCGGTGTTTCATTGCGATGCCGGCAACTCCAAGCCTCCTGCCGAGGCAAGGCGGGCGAGGAGATCTTGTGTTTCCTGTCTGCGTTTCCTGAAAAGGGTGACTGTTGAACACGAGGAGAAATGGCACCTGTTTGATTTGACCTTTACATCGGTTGTTTTCCTCGGTCCCAGCTTCTTTTGTGTTTTAAAAATAACTCGTAGACAATGTGCATTTTCTAAGGTGCTCGGTTGGTCGAATGAGGTTGGGGAGAGCGGAGGTGAACACGGCTCTGAAAATTTGCTTCTTAATCGGATCCTGTGGGACTTCGGTGGAGGGGCGTTTTTTTTTAAATTTTTAGATGTTAAATCGCGTCCTTCAGTCATGTTTGTGGCAATGAATTGCCTCCAACTTAAAACGTCTCAAGCCTCAACGCGTGCATGTGCATTTCTCTGTTGGTGGGAGAAAAAGGTCACTTTGAAGGACACACGATACGATGAAGGCTGGCATTGTGCTGGGAACATTGTCACACCCAGTTTCCTCCCAGGACGTCCTTTAGGATCCCATTTTGGGGGGAGGGGTTGGTGCCCGATTAAGGGTTAAAAATAAGTAGAAATAAGGCGGGTGGGTGTTAAAGACGCGTTTCAGCTGTGAGAAAAAGACCAAACCGATTTAAATTCGGTTATCGATAGTTTTGTATTGGCCCCAAGAATTTTCGGTACGAGACTGTCGTTCCAGGAACAAAGGGTTAAAAATGCATCATAGTCCAAGGTTACTCAAGGTGATCTGGCCTAATTCATGGCACCACGAGAGGACATGGCACGTCTCGTGTTGCCGTGGAAAAGGATCTGATGTCACCATGCATTACAATGGCAATTGATTAATTCACCCAGTATTTCCCTTTCCTGGTGTGTTCGCAAGCCCGTCTTTCGCGTATCTTCAATGTCAAGTTAAGGATAAAGGACTTGTGGTGGAAGAGGAGATACTAGTGTGAAAATCGTTAGCCAGGGGTGCCTAAATTTAGAGGCGATTCGTCTTTCTGGGGTAGTTCGTATGAAATGAAATTCCATTCAGTGAACGGTTTTGGGAAGAAAAAAAGATGCCGAAAGAAAGGAGTTCATGTGTTTTCCAAAGTTAAAAGGGGGGATAGAGACGAAGATTGGTGACTTTTGCCTAGGTTAAGATCGATTTTTGTTTAAAGCGAGCGCGTTTTTTTACATGTTTTTTTAACTTCTTAATCGTTCTCCGCACATGCGAGTATTGATGTCCCGCGTCATACGTAGCGTGGAGAAATCGTGTGTAACAATCTTTCACATAGGTGCTGTAACTTGACGTAGAAAAGCCTTTGGCGTACATTTGGGGGTAAATCTGATTTGGCTTTACGGGGAGGGTTATAGAACTTTCTCGTCCTGACTGTTGCCCCCTTTTGAGCGCCCGTTGTGGACAGGCATGTGCAATTGAAAGTGACGGGGAACCCCAGTAGAGCCGGCGCTTAAGGCGTCATTATGACAGCTTAGGCCTAAACCCTTCTCTACGTCATTAGCTCATCAATCCGATGAATTGATCAATAATGCTTTCCTAACTGAACCGTTTACATTCAACCATGCAAACATTTCCACTAAGGAACTGGGCTCTAGATAAGAAATGCAGAGATGTGTGAGCAATTATCACATTGGTATATGGAAGCAATCCAGTCTCTGTGGGATCTTTGAACTGATGGCCTGAGAGAATTGCATCATTTTAATCGTTGTCTGTGGAAAGTAAGAGCTTTTCATTGACGGTTTTTTCCAGGTTAAACCAGTATGTGCACAGTAAAAAAAAAAAAAAAAAAAAATCTCCCTAATGCTGTATGATGTATGCATGTCCTTAAAGGATTAGGAGATTTTGAGTTTTCAGTATGTCAAGGAGATGAACAACCTGCTTAAAACAGAATTACTTTAACACCTTTCTAGGCCCGTAGCCTGGAAATCTAATCATTGAAAGGTGCCTGTGATTGTTTTGTCTGCCTGTGAGCGCGTCTGAGCTGTCAGAATGCAGAATGCATTATGGTTGGGTTACAGAAAAGCTGCACATGTAAGGCTTATCAAATGTTTTAAGGTGGGAGGAGTTTTTCAGAGAATGCACAAGTGGAGAGGTGAAAGGATGCTCTGCCAAATATTTGACTGGTTAAGCTTAATGAAGAAGGGGAAAGAATTTGATCCAATGAAGAGTTTGATTGCATGATCCTGGTGCCTTGCAGGTGTGGGGCTTAACATCTATGCTCAATGCCATTTGTACAGTATAGAAAGAGCTGTAAAATATTTCTCGGGTGTTACTCGGGACCTGTGGGTTTATCAGAGATTTTGAAATGACACTCTTCATACCTTTGTCACCTCCGAGAAACCACTTTGGCTGATATTGTGGTGACTAAATGAAATCGCTGTGAATGAGTATATAGTCATTTTCTGTAATGCAATTTGATCCTTCCTGAAATAGGGTCTTCTGTTTCAAAGGACATTACTATTAAATCGATATAGATACACGTTACATTGCGTTAAGATTATGTAGTCAGACTCCAGTTTTAAAACAGTGTTTGAAACACCCTGATTGGCCTCCTTTTTCTCCAAAAGGTGTGTGTCCATTACATTTAAATATCCTAACTCATTAGTAGTCACAGTTTTTTTTTCCCTTTTAGCAGATACTGTAATGTGATTCTCCTCTTAGGTGTGCAGGGTTGTAGACTTTCAAAGCAAAAATAATGCTTTGCAGTAGTATTGTGCACATTTGTTTTTCAGTCAATAAATAACAGACCTAAGATCCTGTGTACTGCACGTATTACTTGCACAGAAGCCCTCTGATGTGTGCTGCTGGATGAATTACTATGCAGCGATCTTTAAGAAAAATTACAAATAAGAGGCCATTCAGGCCCTGTACTGCATTTGGTTACCAATAGCTAATTGATCTGAATGTCATTCAGTCATTTCTTGAAAAGAGCCCCGTTTATCTGCTTTGACAACATAGCTGAGGAGCTTGTTTCATGACACCACAACCCTTTGTGCGACAGTCTTGATGCATAAGATCCGATCATTACTTGCTTTTATAAAACGCGGCAAAGGTGTCTTTCCCACAGATCAGGAAACAATAGCTTTCAAAAGTATGGACTCTTCATTATTAGGGAAAGAATGTAGTCCTCAAAAGTCTATCATGAACCTCTGGAAGAAAGATTACTGCCAGACAGACCTAAATTCTTGTCTTAACAATTTTTCTTTTCTTTCCTTTTTTTTTTTAGCCAAGATCCTCTTGTTCTACTTCATTTTCTATGGCTTCCTGGCTGGTATCTTCATTGGAACCATCCAGGCTCTTATGATGACCATTAACAGCTATAAGCCCACCTACCAGGACAGAGTTGCACCCCCAGGTAAATACATTCTAAAGATGTGTTGCCTGGTTTCTTCTGGGACTGATTCTGATCGTTCTCTGGTAGTGGACATGCTGTGCAGCTCCATCAGCACTGTTTTGATGAAGAACTTCATGACTAAAGACTCTTTGCCCTCAATATCGTGTGGAATGTGGGTCTGGTGATTTTGTAGGCCTAGTGAAGGTACTTTTAGTGTGTATAGATGGAGTAAGATGTGTGTTCCATGTTGGTGATGGCTACATTTTGTTTTTTTTTTCTTGTGTGGATGTTGCTGATTGAAATTTTGTAGGGAACCCAACAAAGAATTAATTTGGAGGGCTAGAGTTATAAGTATAGTTTCTCACCCCCCATCCAGGTTTCTATCAAAGAACCCTTGAAGCTGACAGCTGTGATGGTAGTATAACTAAAAATGCATGTACTGTAGAAAAAAAATAGTTTTTTCATCGAACCATCTACAAGTTGTAGTGAATGGAAAAATCCGTCACTCCTTCCCGTTTTTTTTTTTGATGATGCTGCTAAATAGTCCTGGGTTTTGAGTTGAGAATTGAACTTTTCAGCTTCGTCGGCTAAATTGAGTTTGTCTGTGATTCTCCCATGTTTGACAGAAATGAGCACTATACTGTATGTGATTCACAGGGTACCTTTCATTAAATGTTTGTAATTGGAGGGGAAGGCTGTATTGCTCAGCGTCGTGTAAATTTGGTGGGTGTTGCTATTACCGAACCATGGAGGCTGATTCTGTGTTCAGTGCATTTGTCATCAAGGTCATTTCCTTCCTTGAAGCTTTTCACTCCTCAGTGTGGCTGTGTAGAAACCGGGGCGTGCAGCCATTTTATCCACATCCATACAGCTACTTCAGTGAGCTTTTCCCAAGAAACCCCCCCCCAGATTTAATAGTGTTCTCAGTCTTAATTGTCTTTCTAATTTGGTAGCTCCACTTTCATACCTTTTCCACCTCCCCCCATCCTTGTATACTTTAAGACCCGCAGTGGTCTCTTAAAAAGTTCACTTTTTAGACACAAAAACAAAATGTTAAGCCTCTGTATAAATGCGTACTGTAATCCTGAGGCGGCGTGCTGAACAATGCTGGTCTAAAACAGTGAAACCTTTTGTATCGTTTGGTGCCTGCTTAATCATTCCTGGTAAGTTTTGAGCTGCTTGGTGATTTGTATTAAATTGTTTTTGTTCTGATGCCAGGAGTCTTGCAAAGCCTAGTAGTAAGGGGTCCAGCCTGTGCCAAGAGACATTTGCCTGGCGCATGCTGCTGCTGCTGCCTCTCTCTTATTGATGTTTTTAGCTTGCATTGTATGGGCTGGCTTTCTAGCTACTGAGTAGTTTGCCTGTCCGCCATTTCCTGTAGCAAAGTAGTTAAACTGTGTAGGTCAGCCTACCAAGGCAACCAGACAAGGAGGTGTGGATTAGAGTGTGCTGAAGTGAGTTTCCATTGGTGACTTGATAAAAGAAGTAGCTGTCAGACACTCGTGCTGCCTAAGTCCCGCCTCACAATTTCAGCTAAAAGTTTCCATTGTGCAGAAAAGCACATGAGCGGTGGGTGTTTTCACAAGCTGCAACTGGAATAAAAAAGCCATGCTGGTTTTCTTTAGACTGACTGGTGCATAAAATCCACTTTCTGCTTTTATTAGTTGAAATTGGAACAGTTTTTTTTAAAACTAAGTTGGCATTTTAAGTTATTTCTGTATGTGTGAGGGGAGAACATTTTCTGTACACTTTTTCGAACTTCACTGTTACAAGCCCGGTTTTCTGTGTGTAAATAAACCTCCCCTTGTTTTTTTATTTAGCTTTAAGAAAGGTGTATCAAAAGCTGTACTAGACAAGCTTTTGATAGTTTTCACTCTATTGGATTTTAATCCTTTGTAATGTGGCTAGGTAGGAGACTTCATCAAAGCTTCCTTTTAAATTTGGCTGATCACAAACCTCTGAATTTTCTTGGTGCTGGCTAAAACCAAAAACTGAATTTAAAGCACCTGCTGAGGCTTAATCTTCATGCATTAAAATCAATTTTATGCCCTTTCATTGAGTGTGGTTTAAAGTGGCGGGGGGGAACATAAGCATTCCTCTTAAATGTGCTTCATGTTTTTTATAAACGTATCTGAAAGTGTTTTAGTATAGCCTCTTGTCAACCAAGTCTTAATTTATACAGTTATTTCAATTATTGCCTCTACGCAGTTTGTGAAAAGATGAAGAATTGGCAAGAAAATCCAGTAAATAATCAAATTTGGATTACTTTTACATAATTCAGAATGAGTCATGTCACTGTAGCAATGATAACCACAACCCTGTTCACTGCCTGGACACGGCGTACTGATCACTCCTAGTCCTGTAAATGTGGTCCTATCTAATTTCCAGTTGGAACATTTATTCGTAGATTTTGGACAAAACCCCACCAAGAGTGTAACGGAGTCACAGAACGTACAAGTTAACGTATGAAGAAAGTGTCCGATGGACTCCCGAGTGCAGCCTTACTGCACTGCGACCAAAAAGAGGTGCCAGCACCCACTGGACACTTGACTGTAAAGTCAAGTATCTGTAGAGTTTTTTTTTAATTTAAAATGGCATATTTTTCCACAAGTATTGACGCATGAAACCACAAACAATTTTTTTTTTCCATTCCTCTTGTGAATATGTGGTACCATATAAAGAGTGCGTTGCTCTTTGGAATACATGCATTCCACAAGTTTCTCCCTGAAAAGAGATGGAACCCTATTACCCCCTGTAAACCAACAGAAGCTGCCTCCTGGCTGCCACTTGGAGATGTTAATCAGGGACTGAATGCAGCTTCTGCACAGAATGTAGATAACCTTTCTCGTTTCTCGAATTGTTAACCTGTTTAGGGTCCTGAGAAACATCTCCCAAGACTCTCTCTCTCTCTAGTTTTTAAATATAGATTAGAAATGGTCTGCGGCTGGAAAGGGGTGGGAGACATAAACTCTCTTTGCTTGGTTTAGTTTTTTTTTTTATAAACTTGGGCTTCTGCTGTTGACTTTTTCAGGATTAACACACACCCCTCGTTTAACCAAGACTGAAATCTCCTTCAACCCAAATGAAGAAGACTCTTACAGAGACTACAGAATAGCCATGAATAACATCCTGAAACAGTATGAGGAAAAGACTCAAATGGATGACATGAAGTTTGAAAACTGTGGTGGTAAGTTTTTCGTAATGCGTTTTTTTTTTTGTGAGGGTGGGTGGTTGAGCATAATCGCAGGACACTGGGTGTGTAATTTAAGCTTTCAAGGACTTTGAAAATAACGTTGTCTGGGCGTAGTTATTGTGGAATTTCTGTAGAAAGATCTCTGGCTTTGCCAGGTGGGTAGCTCACATTGGCCATTGGCTTCATTGAGCTCAATTCTCAGTGTGCTTATTTATATCTGCTTTCTAAGATTTGTAAGATACTGGGCAGCCTGTCAGTTGCTTGCCTTCTGACATCTGTAATTGTTCGTCCTTCCCATGTAGAGCACCATCTGTACTGCTGGAGCCTTAAATTTGGCAACTCCAGATTGGATGGGTGTATTAAGAAAAAATCTTTAAGGTAAAATAAATCCTACGTGGAGGCAACCAATATAGATACTCCTAAGAACAAGAACAGTTGTGGCTTTATAGGTGCAGTGTGGCTCATTTCTGGAAAGGAAATACAGGTTTGAAAGGATGGAAGGTTCATTTCCAAATCCTCCTTATAAACCTGGGTCTATAGGTGGTATCCATGATTGATCTAGACTTAGACTGCACCAATATTGTTGCTTTCTTTTTAACCCTATCCTGAGGGACCTTTACACAGGAACAGACTTTTTTTTTGACAATGAATTTTTATATTGGTAACATCCCACCGTTTCAACATTCTCAATGAAATGTTGCACTGATGCAGTAGATATCGCCAAGTCCTGGATCAAAATTGTGATGTGTTAAGTTGGTTTTGGGTTCCGTTTGGCATATTTGGAAATTGGAATTCAGTCTACTTGTGAGCCAGACTGCTTTGAGGCAATCTTGATCTGTTTAGCTGGTGAATCAATATAGTTGCCCGTTAAACCTTAATGTGCAGATCAATTGACCTTGGTTGCTTTATGTGGAACTCTGAAGCATTGTATCTGTACATCCAGAAAGCTGGAATTGAGCGTTGGGCTGCCGCAAGCCTTTAAAGTTTTGTTTTCCATCATCGTCGGCTTTTGATTTTCTTTTTAACATTGGTGCCACTACTTCATAGAAACGTATAACGGCAGGATTCAAATCTTTTCCAACAGTGTGCAGTTCTAAAAGGTAAAGTCAGTATCTGCGAGTACATAAAAATAAATGCATGTTGATTCTTCTCCCCTGGGCCTGTCTGCTGCAATAAGCTTGATTTAATGCCATCCGTAGGGCTGAACGTATGTTGCATGCAACGCAAGTCTTTATCAAGTGCAGCTAAATTTTCCTATATGGGTCTTTACGATCCATATTCGTGATGGTAGTATGCCAACATCTTACAGTGCAGATATGAACTTAACATTCAGACGTTCATCCTTTTGCTGGCTAATAGGTGCAGTCTATTGCACCTAGTGCTTATTCACAGTATTGCCAACACCGGCTACTGCTTCAAGCTTGTATTTAGCTAAATGTTCCGGAGAACATGGACTACTAGTTTTATAAATCGGCAGTTGTTCCACACTGTCATGAAGATGCCAAATTCTTTCTGCACTCTATTTCACAAAGCCTAAAGTCTGAGTTGTGTAAGGAGTTTATATGAAGGTTGATCTAAGTGGTGGATAGGTCTAAAACCTGTGGCAGTTTGTAAAACACATCCAAAATAGATACACAGGCTTTACATCCAAAAGGTAATACAACTTTCCCTGTTATAAGGAAAGCTTTTAAATAACTTGTACTGCACCTACAGATTGGCAGGTTGCAGATCTGCGGTATCCTCCACTGTTCACCATAAGGTGCAAGTTTATTAGAAGGAATGCTGTTGTAATTCTTCAACGCCGTTGAACAATTTTTGTTTTTCAAATCCGATTTAGCAATTTCTGTTTTGTTTTTTTACTGCACCAAACTAAAAACTAAAGTTTTAGTACAATTACAAAGAAAATCAAAGTATTAAAGGTCCAGTAGTCAGACCTGATTTTATTTAAATACCTAGATGTGATCTTTAAATTCTCATGCAAATAAAGCATTTATATCTAAAGACATTCTGGGGGGTAAAACCTAAGTGGCATTAACATTTCTAAGCAGACCAATAATCATATTAAGAGTTTTCACAGTGAAGTCAGCTACGCTGATCTAGTTTGGTGTTCCAATAACACAGTGTATTATGACATTGCTTTAAGCAGGAAAGCTTCAGCACTACCATGGACCAGCAGGAGTAGCCAAAGTTAAGGGGAGGACAACTGGTCTTTGGGGTCCAGAATGCTGCATGTGTTCCAAGTCTCCTTAAATTGTAAACTTTCTCACCTGGGACATGGCAGATTGAACCATTTGAAGGTTAATCTGGACGAATGCACCCTTTTTCTACAGCTTTAAGCTTTTGGAGATTGAAAGAAACTTGGAAAAACATGCTAGATCCTGAACTACATGACCTGGAATTTGGGAAGCCTTGCACTATGCATTGTGCATTTCTTTGCATGGAACAGGCTCTTAATCTTGAGTGAACCATGCTATGTCTATTCCTGTATTTTAACTCCGGGAATGTCTGCTTTAAAAAGGAAAGTATCTTTTAGATGGATAGGAGACCAGTGCATTTTGTTATGCACTTCGTGCTTGCAAAGTTCTTAGCATGAGTGAGCATCATGCTGTGCATGTCATTCTTTGATCATGACACCGTAAATTGATTTTTAGTAGAGCAATAGCAGTAGTAAACTGTAATTATAGGGTACATATTTTAAACTGGTTGCCCAATGTTCTGATTATTCATTTAGTTTGGAGCCGGTTTTCTAATAGACTTGCACCATCCTAGTGAAATGCTGCTCAAGAAAGAAGAATATTGGGCTTTTGGCTTCTGTCCCTTCTTGATGAGATGAACCCATTAATAGTCCAGCGATATCTTTGCTTTAAATTTTAGTCATACCCTTTAAATGATCTAATGGACTGTCCAGAGACCAATATCTCAGAATTTGTTTAGCAAAATGTGAACTTGCCTTGCAGGATGCAGTTTGGATTCTCAAGGTGAACTGTCCATTTTCTGATTGAAGTTGTCTCCAGTTCTCCAGCAGTGTTTTCTTAGCCCTTTGGTGCAATTTGAAGGTTGCAATTTTAAATTGCAAGACTATCCCTCAGTATTTAACTTTACCATAAAGGGTGGTGAGGATTTTCAAAAGAAACCAAAACATTTAGTTGGCAACTACATGAATGAGTGGTAATTTTCCCCGTCATGTCTTCACTCAGAAATCCCTTCAACCTACATAAACCGGGGAGACTTAAATGCAGATCAAGGAACAAAAAAAGCCTGTCGTTTCAAAAGATCTTGGCTTGGAAACTGCTCTGGCATAGATGACCCAAACTTCGGCTATAAATACGGCAAGCCTTGTATGATTGTCAAGCTGAACAGGATTGTGAACTTCAGACCAAAGGTATGCTTATTTTTCAACTCGTTTGCATCTGGGAATGTTTTCTGGGTAACTGTGGTTTCCTACCTAATGTAACATTCAGAAAGGGCTGGTTTAACTAATTAGAGCTTGCATGAAACTGAATTTGGTGGTTCTCATTTATGTATGCTTTGGCAACTATTCTAACGGACTCTACAGAAGAATGGAAATTCCCCCATTTTTAATTCTGCAATTCCAAGACTGTTTCCCGAATACCTTTCAAATGTGCATTTCCATAAATATTTTTGAACTTTTCCTTCTAGCCTCCAGCAACAAATGAGAGCATCCCAGAAGAATTTCGTGACCGAGTGCAACCTAATATCATCCCAGTTATCTGCACTAACAGGGTAGGCTGCGGTCTCCAAATTGGAGATAATTCTGAGAATTATAACTTTTTTTTTTGTTTGTGTCTGTGCAAATGTGGGTATTTCAACTATAAGATGAATTGACATTTCTATATTCCAAGTCATGTCACTACTCCCCTATCTACACACACTTGCGGGGTTTAGCCATGTTTTATTGGAGTGCATGGTCAATTTAATAGTTTTTAACTTTCATTAAAAGATCACAAATTAAATATTCTAGTGTTTAAAGCCTTGGTTATCAATTAATCTTTGGTTGAGAGTTTTGACGTAACTGACTTTTTAATGTTCCTCCTCCTCTCCTCTGATCTGTCCTCCCACAGAGAGAAGAGGATGCCGGCAAGATTGGGTTAATCCAATATTATGGCTTTGGTGGTGGCTTCCCTCTGCAGTACTATCCGTATTACGGAAAGCTGCTCCATCCCCAGTACCTTCAGCCACTGGTGGCGATCCAGTTCACCAACCTGACGTTGAACACTGAGCTGCGCATTGAGTGCAAGGCTTACGGACAGAACATCGAATACCACGAAAAGGACCGCTTCCAGGGACGCTTTGATATAAAGATTGAGATTAAGAGCTGATGATTGCAGCCGCAAGCTGCGCCTTCTCTGCCACCTCCCCCATTTCAAAAACCAACAAAAAAAATTTAAAAAAAAATTAAACACAACTAGTCTTGAACAAACTGTCATAACATACGGGACCTACACTTAATCTGTATGCTTTACACTAGCTTTTCTGCATATATCTAGGGTTAGAATGTAAATTCTGGAAAAGAGTAGCAATAGCGTGAAGTATTTATTCTACTGTAAATGACAATATTCCTTGAGCCATGGGACATGTTCATTTATTACTGTAAATTATAATTCCACTACTGATGTAGCGAGCAGTGTTTCTGTCCCCTAAGTATTGCTGCCTTGTGTGGTTTTAAATATTTTTGGAGTGTACAGTACTGTAGTCGCAAACAATGGTCCTTTCCAAACCATGTTGTAATTTCTGTATTTTCTTATGTGAGCAAGCTTTAGCGGTCCAAGGTGTATATATATGTATACTTACTAACTGAAAATACTGGCATGGTACGCTCTGATCTTAGGTCCATGTGTGAGAAAATGACTGCACTCCGTGGAGCTCTATACCTTCTTTGTGTGTCTTAGTGTTTGATTGTGGGAGAAATTTTACATACTTATTTTCTTTTCCATCACTTAAATGTGGGATGAAAGATTTATTACACTTTTTTTGTTTGAGCCTTTTACTTTCTTCCATTTATGCTTCATTTTGTTGTAGATCTGTGTGGAAGGCCTGTCGGACTCTTACCTTTATGGGTAATGGTGTTAGATCAGTGCTTTTTTTATTTTATTTTTGCTGGGGTGTCACAGACTGTGATGCATCTTTCTAACGAATGTTTTAGCCATTTTCATGGTGGAAGAATTTTATATTTATGCAGTTGTACAATTTTTTTCTGCAGGAAAAAGTGTAATGTATAAAATACCAAAGTTGCTGGTTGAAAATTAGTAGAAATCTCTGAAGCAATGAAGTACCCCCATGTTAGAGGATGTTTTGTTGGTGTTAAAAGTGCAAAGTAAATGTTGAACATCAATACACTTGTCCGGAGTCCCTGTACTCTCGTCATTTATTTAATCTGGTTAAAACTTTGGGAAAAATAAAAATTGAGAATAGAAAAGCTTTGTGGTTTTTATTTGACAAAATAACACTGAAGTATCTTCATCCATCCAGTATCTTGAAAAAGTATTGTACCTGTAACAAAAAGTGAAGCTGAGTCAGCAAACCTGCCTATAATAACTTGGTTGGAATTGAGTAGATTATGGTATTCAGTACAAGAATTACAGTAGTCTACTATTGGTATTGACTACCTGTACTCAACTGAGACCTTATTTACCACTATTTCACATTGTCTGTTTTTAATAAACATGCAGCATTATGTAGTTCTCATTGGAGTTTTAAATTGGAGATAAAATCATTATCATATTTCAGATAGCTGTCAATGTTTTGTATAAGCAACAGGACAAACAGGTGCTCTCTGAACAATGCGGGGCACTATCTTGCAACAACAGCAGTTTAATATTCTACAACGTAGCCCGGCCTTCTGTTGGTGAAAATGACTGGAAGCGTTCAGATAAAGTTGAATTTTAACTAACTTTATCGTTCATGACTTTGTGTTGGGAATACCTAGAAGTAATATGGGATCTGTACATTTTAGTACTATAGCCATTTATCAATGAAATGGATCAATTTCAGTGGTAGCTGAAGAAAAACTTGCTTATCTGTAGGTAACTACCTGTAGGAACTAATCATCTCTGTAGAATAGGATTTGGGAGGACATAAACCTGTATTGAACATATGGGCCTAAGATAGTCTTGATGGTTCTCTTTTGTCAGGTGCTATTTGTTTACTCATTGGATAAAATTCTTAATCTTTCAACAACATTTAGTAGATTCAAACACACACAGAATTATGTTTTTAAATCCTATGCTCATTCCCGTAGACTTAACATCCAATACACATTTAATAAAACATAGCACATGCTATCATCCAAGATGATACTCATTGAGCAATGAATGACTGGAAATGTTCACCTGAAATTTAACACACCACTGAACATGAAGTCAGTTTTGCAACAACTGCTCCAGACGATGCAGATTAATGAGGAATGGGTCCCACTACTAGAGCTGTGCAGCAATGCTAATTGCCACAGTATTGTTTCAGGTATGTATATTACTGTTCTGTGGCAAAACATTGCTGTTATTAAATTTCTGACAGTAGAGAACACTAAACTTAAATAGGGTTTTAAGTATGAAGTCTTTAAAGTCGTCTTGAGAATTATCTACCAGGTACACTTCACTGGAGGACTTTTGTTTAACAGTTGCCTTGTACATGTACACATTTCTACATGTTTTCTGCTGCCTGAGACATTCCTGCATTTCTAATGAACCTCATCATCACTAAGGTTCACTGAAGAAGAGCTTGGAGACCAACAAATAGTGTGTGACAAGGGTATTTATAACCTAGTGAAGAGGTATTAATAGTATGTGGATATGCACAGAAACTATATTGAAAACAAAAAAAATCTGCTTCAGCCATGAAGCATAGTTAGTAGCTAAGTCACGTTAAATATTGATTTCCCACACCAGAAAATATAAATGGCTTCTAATGTCAAATATAACAATGAATTTCTTCAGTGAGCTGGTTACGTTTGCCCAGTAACGAAGATCTACTTACAGTATACAGCACAAATGGAAATGGAAGGTTTATATTTTTGAGAAAGAACATTTCAGTATTTTAACTAAGAGGTTATTCTACGAGTGATCTTTATTGTGGTAACTTGTATCTGTCAATCTATACCAGAGATGTTGTGTTCAGGAAGAATCCTTCTGACATAAACTCCCCCACCAGGTGATATGAACAATGCAGTTGATGAATTAATGATTATGTAGATGGATTATATGAATGTTGAGGGTCGTGGTGTGTTGTGGTGACTGTCTGCCTTTCAGGACATGACCAGTCTCTGACAGAGCTGGTTTTCTGTTGTTTTTGGACTGGTCAGATGATTGCTGAAGCAGAACTTGTGTAGGCTGCCTATCTCGCAGACAGGCCACCTTCAGTCATGTTGATGGTATCTTCAGTAGTCAAGCAGGTATAGAAAGCATGGTTTTATCTTTTTTCCATTCTGGCTTCAATTATAATCATGCCTTATTGAACATGCTGTTGTTTTATTTGTACTGATTCTTAATAGTATTATTTTGTAGTTTTAACTCACATACCAAAAACTGAGCGTTCTAGCGTTGTGATGAAATCATGATTTGTTTTTTTTAACAAATTTACCCTACACTTTCCAAAAAGAGTACATCTCCCAGAACTACGTGCCACAGATCTGTTTTTCAGGAAAGGTTAATTAATGTGAGCAGGTAACAAAAAATGCATTGTGTCTCGAGCAATCTAAAAATGTAATCTTTTCCCAAAACAGCCATAATTTAAATCACAGATGTTAAGGTACAACCTACCACAGAATGACTTTTTCACAGAATGACTTATAAAATTGTACAATCTAATCTTGCTAAAGAAAAAAGAGCAAAATTGAAGACATGCAATATAAAATGTAAAATCAACCTGTACAAAAGGCATTCTTCAGTATTTAGAATACTATTCATTAGTCTAAACACTATTAATTAATTTGCATTTTTTCTAAACACATTATGGAGGTATTATATTTGTATATTATCTTTCAAGTATTGTACTTATCTTTCAAAAGTCTGTTGTGGTTTTATTTTGGTGTCATGCCCCAAATTGGAAGATTCTGTCACAAGCCCTTGCTCTGGTGTCCCTGTTGGTGGTGTGGGTGAAAACACCATAGCTTTTGAACGTACATAAATACTCAAGAATTACCTCCAAAATGCCATCCTCAGGCAGGTCTGTACAATGCACTGCATTCTGTACTTTGCTTTTGCCAAAGATAGCTCGCAGAGTATCGGGACGGAGATGACGAGCTATTTCCTGTTCAAAAATAAAAAAGAACAATATCACACTCCAAAATACATGAATTCTCAAAAGACTTACATGTATGTCTTCAATCTATATATCCACATATGTACTATAGCCTGTTTTATCTTATTATGCACTAGCAAAACTGACAGTTCCTAAATTAATTTGAAAATAAATATATACATCAATCAAATTTCAAATGAAATCACACCTACAGTGCCTTGCGAAAGTATTCGGCCCCCTTGAACTTTTCAACCTTTTGCCACATTTCAGGCTTCAAACATAAAGATATAAAT